AGATCAGCCTCATGGCTCTGGTGAAATCTGAGGCTTTCTTGGGGACGACTGACTGCAACAGCTAATCACCAGCAGTCGGAGAACAGGGCCCCCTGTCAGGTCCCGCCTCTTGTGTACAGACGGCAGCGGTGCGAATTGATGATGACGGTGATGGAACAGAATTCTAAGAAGTGGAGGGTTTTGTGCAACATCACACAGCAAATTTTTGGCAGAACTGGGACCAGCTATCTGCCTCCTTAGCTTGCTCACCCCGCAGGGAAGTAGGAGGAGCTATACCCTTGGGGAAACACCCCAGGGACCTGGTAGGCAAACCACACCTCCATCACGGCACTTATGCAACAAAAGGGCCTGCGAGGGTCTCCAGAGTGAGATCAGTGAGGACAAAGACATTGATGTCGTTTGCTCCCGGGATAGATTGCAGGCTGGGGCAACACCCCCAAAGTGGACAGCGGACAGGCCTCTGGTTTGGGCTTCTGCCCAGAGAAGCCAGAGGCTCAGTCTTCACTGCTGTCCTGCTCATCCGCAAAGAGTGTAAGTGGCTAAGCGAGCAGAGGCGTTCTCTGGGGAAGCTTGCTGGGCTGTCAGAGGTCAGGGCGTGCCCCATGAAATGACCTGGGGGCAGCCTGATCAGAGCTAAAGAGCGGGAGCGGGGCCACTCCATTTCTTGGGGATCTTATGGGGACAGAAGGGACATTATCTTCAAGATGAAGAGCCTGCTTCCTCCTTTGTCCCTGAAACATCTGGGCCATCAGGTCACACAGGGCCCGTGTCTTCCCATCCATCTCTCTCTCTCTGTGTCTCTCTGTCCGCCTCCCTGTCTGTCAGGCTGCCTGTTAATTGGGCGCAGCCCAGCCTTGGGATCAGGGCAGCTGTGTCACAGGCGCCTGCCAGCCTCTGGGGGAGGAGGACTTTGTACAGGACGAAAGAGAGGGGCTGACATTCTCTCTGGCGCCCCCAAGGCCCGCCCTGGGGCAAGGCCAGTGTGAGCATGGGGGGAGGGCGACCTCACTGTCCCCCCACCTCCAGGGCTGCAGGCTCTTTCCTGTGTCTCAGTGCCTTCGGTCCTGTGAGTTGCCCTTGTGATGCTCAGAGGAACAGCTGGCAGAAAGGAGATTACCGAATGTACTTCTGCCTTGAAGCTTTCTCCAGGCTGGGGGGACTAGGCAGTTGTCAGTGTGGGAAAGGGGACATCTATGTCTAGTGTCGCCCTGTGACAGTGCCCTGCGTGGGGCACGCTGGTGTCACTGGGGACCGTCCTTCCCTCTCAACTGTGTATTTGTTAGTCCCTGAGTGTGGCCAGGGTGGGCTTCTCTTCCCTAAACTGCTGTTGGTCCTCTCTGAGGGGCTCCACTCCTTACGAGGGGGGGGCAGGGGTAAGACTAAAGCAGACAGACAGGCAGAAAAGCAGGCATAGCAGCAGGACGTGGGGAGGGAGCTCCAGCCCCTCAGTGACAGAAAGGACACACTTAGCAGGAGGGGCTGCAGGACACACCAGGCAGAGAGGGCTTCCTCCTTCAGCAACCCTGACCCGGACCCTGGCCCTGGCCCCTGCTCTGTGGGCTTTGGCAGAAGCGGAGGATGGGAGGCCAGCAGCCAGAAGCAGCATCGTCCACAAATGACCAGATACTGTTATGTTCTTACCATCTAGACAGTGAGCACCTCAAAGACAGGGAGAGCTTGCCTGTGTGTGTGTGTGTGTGTGTGTGTGTTTCATCGTTGCACGCCTAGGCCCTGGTACATGGTAGGTTCTTAATACACAGAGTCTAAATTGAAGCAGTTTGCATCTTGAGGATGGAGAGACTAGTAAAAAGCTACCCAAGAACAGAGCTCTCCTCTGCCAAAATAGGGCCCTGACCCCTGGGCAGAAGAGGGAACGCTGACATCAGTAGGGCCCCAAGGAATGGCCCATCCCCACATCGCCTCCGCCTTCTCCTTCGGGAAGCCCAACATTTACTCAGCACTTACTACTGCAGACCCCCTCTCTGGATTGGTAAGAAATACAGGAGCAAAGAGAAGTGGGGCAGGGAGCGGGGGAGGGGGAAGAACAAAAGGTCTGGAGTCAGAAGACATGCCGCTTGTGGGCTGTTTTCTTAGGCAAACCCAGCGCTTGACTTTCCTAAGCCTTATTATCCACCTCGATAAAATGAGATCAGCTACCTGGCAGGGAAAAAGGCATCTCTCATAAACTCCAGATACGATGTAAATCGGCGTGACCTTCTCCAAGTAATTTGTAAAAATTCTTTGAAATGAGTACACCTTTGGATTTGGCAACTCCACATCTAGAAACTTACCCTAAGACAATCATCAAGTCTGGAGCAAAACTCAGCTGCAAGAATGTGTTTCTAATGACAAAAACTGGAAATAATCTAAACAACAAATAATAGAAATTTGGCTGGGTAATTGGAGTACATCCATAAGTGGCATGCCATGTGTCACTAAGATTATTGTGTACGTTTCCCTTATGTGCAAAGGATTTACAGTACGTCACTAAATTTATAAGGCTGCTTACAGAACAAACAGTGTGTAGAGTATGATCCTGTCTTGAAGAAAAAAGCGTCTCACTCTACATATTAACTGTGGTTATCTTTGTATCATAGGACTACAGCTAACTTAAAATTTTCTCCTTCTTCTGTATCTATTTTGTACAATAAGGATATATTATTTTATAAAGGTAATAAAAATTAAGTTATTATATTAACATATCGCCTTCTAAGATTGTTTTAAGAGTTAGAGAAGATACTACATATGAAAGTACTTTGCAAAATGAAAAAGTATACAGCTATAAGACACGGTCTCTGCCCACAAGGAGCCTCCAGTTTGGAGAGAGACGAGAGGGATGCGAGATTAACTATAGCATGAAACAGAACCTGGCAAGAGCTTTCGGAGGGTGACAAATATGTTACTTGGAAACACAGAGGAGGTCAAATGACGTCTGGCTGTAGAGGAAAAAGCCAGAATGTTCAAGTTGAACACTGAAGAGTGATAAGGTTCTTGTCCAGCAGAGATGTAGAATTGGGGCAGTAAGACAAGTGGGAGGTCGTGGGACGGATTTGGAGAACGAAAGGGCTGTGTGTGGATGGCAGTAGCAAGCCTACGGTGAAGGGTCGAAGCTGAGTTCAGAAGGCAGTTAGGGAGGACAGGGGCCAGGCTGCACTTAATCAGCGTGGCCAGTGAACACCGGAGGTGCCTTCCATGAGTAAGGAGTCACTGAAAATTCTGGAGTAGGAGGTGGCACGACTGTAAGGCCATCCCGGACAGTGTCTGGCAAGTCCGAGGCCCTGGATGGATGCAAAATGAAGCCCTCTGCCTGGGAAGCTCAGTCCCAAGGCAGCTAACAGGCTGGAGGGGCGAACAGCAGAGAGGAGGAGGGACTTGGCCGCCGTGGCCAGGGATGAGGGCCCTCTCCAGGTGTATCACTGGGAATGGAAAGGAGAAGACCATCTTCCTCCCAGACTGGAAAGAGCTGGGATGTGGGGGAATGATGGAGAGGGAACATGAGATGGGGCTCAGGAAGGGAGGAAGTGGACTTGTCCCCCAGGTTTGCTGCCCGGGGGACCGGAGAACCAGGAATCATTCACAGAAGTCACAGGCAAGGCCAGTGGAGGAGGAGAGGCTGGGATGGGGGCGCTTCGGTGCTCACAGCATCCTCTCCCTCGGTCCTGATCTCTTGGGTGGGTGATGGCCAGGGGGGCCTGAGCCTTCTGCCACGTTGAATGGATCTCCTATCCATCATCCCTCCTTGGGAGGAATCTGGGCCCCATGTGGGGAAGGGGGTTTTATTTCAACCCAGAGAGATTTTTTAGTGGAAATTCATTAACCACGTGCTCCTCTCCAGTCATCCCATCTCCTAGCTCCCCCACTTTCTCTCCCTGCAGCCAGGAGTTCACACAGGATCCCGGAAGCTGTGTCTCTGCCACCCTCACCTCCAGCAGTGCACACGCACGCGCACACACACACACCCCCAGAGGGAGGCAGGAAAGTCTTGTTGAGGCAAATGTCTGAATTTCCATTTCCCACTGCAGCTCCCAGCCCGGCCACTGTTTAGCTCCTCCTGTTGTCATGTCACTAGTTAATTACATTCTTTACTGAGGTGCAAATGTGTTTTTACAGGGAGACTAAGATGGTGTTAACTAGGAAGGAGTTGTGAATGTTAAAGATGCTTTTACCTCTGGTTGCAGGGCTGGGGCTCTTGGCTGGAGATGCTCCCTGCTGCTGCCCTGAAAATGCAGCCCAGGCATCAGCAGCCCCCTCTCCCTTCCCATGACCCCACCATCCTGGCCCCAAGCGCAGCCTCACTGGAGTCAAATCAGCAACTCCATCCACAGGGAGAAATTGCTGTGAGTGGGAAGTGCCAGGCCAGGCCTTACACTGGTGCTGACCTAAACCAACCTCATTTCTGGACACTTGGTGCATTTCAGACATTGAGAAACAAAATTAATCCACTTTAATCTAAAAGTAAATAAGTAAGTTGTGCAGTCAAATTCCCCTTTAGGCCGAGGCTGTCCTCCACTGCCTGGGTCCGTTACCCCCTGACTCTTCCTCCCCGCTGCCCGCAGGCACCCTCCCCTCCAGCCCATCAGTGTCTCTCCAGACCCCCAGCCAAAGCCTCCCCGCAGGGAAACCATCTGAAACTTCATCTGCACACCTGCACAAGTTGCAACTGCCACCCTTTCTCTGAGTTCCCTACAGTTTAAAACAAAAAGCCAGCTGTGGCTCCCCAGGACCCAGCTTCACTCAGGGACCAGCCCACACTTGCAGGGAGAGAGGGCTGACTATATGTCTGGTGCCAGGGGACCAGACAGGTGACCACAGGGCACTTCCCACTGTGACAAGGGCTGAGCGGCCACTGAGGAGAGGGGCTTGAATGGTGCATGCGGTAGGAAGCCTGCAGAGCACGCAGAGTGTACCCCTTCCCGCCAGCCCTGGAGTGGGGGGGGACAGAGGTGGGTCCTCTTTCCCCCGATCCCCCGCCCCGAGCACTTCTCTGCCCTTCTTTGCAGGTGCGCTGGCTCTAGCAGGCAGGAAGGCATTCTGGCCCAGCTGGAAGTGAGAAGAGGGGAGCAAGTCTCCTGAGGCCCATCCTAGAGGCCGCCAGGATCACCCGAACAGTAAGAAATGCCTCTCCATCCTTTAACACTTAGTTAAACCCTCCAGGCAGATTCTCTTTTCTTCTGAAAACCTCGAGAACCAGCCCATAACATTAGCTGACACTTAGCACACACAACCTTCGACAGCACAGCCCTGCATGATTTCTCCACGTCTTTGCTCCTGGAGGACAGCACGGGACTGTGCCTGGTCCCTGGGCACCTCTCTTTTCTTCTACATACTCCATGAACAATAGACTGTTGTTGATACAGACGGATGGGCTGTTGCTGACACTATGATGATGATAACACTTGTACAACCCTCTGGAGCGAGCGTTATCAGCAGGGGTGTTTCTGGAAAATTCAGTGCCTGGGTCTCACACCGGGGTTCCTGATTTGCGAGTCCGGGTTCAGACCAGGAATCTGCACCCCAAGTGTTTCTGATGAACACAGAGGAAACTGCATCCCAGTGGTTTGTCATGAACTATGAGAAATAGCTCCTCGGAGTGTATAAAGCTTTCTGAATGGAGAATCTCACTTAATCCTCTTATCAGATAGGGTTTTTTAAATCCCCTTAAGTAACTTCATGATCTCACAGACCTAAGTATCTGTATAGGCAGGGATTTGGAAGTCAGTTATCCAAAACAAGCCTTTTTTCTTTCCAGTATGCCATGATAAGGGCTGGGTCTGTTATGGTGAGATTGGGCCCCAACTCCAAAGGACCCTGCCCAGGATTTTGTACGTTTTTCTGATGTCTTAGGGCCGCCATGACCTTCTAATTCCTCAGTCTTCATTTTGGAGGCAGTAACAATTGCCAAATTCCTCACAAAAGCTGGTTTCCCTCAAGAGAAGAGGGAGAGAGACAACCAGAAAAGTGAATCTCCCCAGGCAGGTGGTTAGAGAAGCCCCAGATATTCAAGGGGATGGCCCATCCAACAGCGGCAGAACTGGCCAGCCGTGGTCGTCTGTTCCCTGTGCCCCCTGGCTGTTAGGGGAGCCCTGTGTTCGGGGTGTGTTACGGGGTAGGGAGCACTGAGGCATGCCGGGTCCCCTCGAGGTGAAAGCCGAAGGAAAGGCTGGATCCCAGGGGTCAGGGTTTCACCCCAAGTGCCCACTTAGGGGACAGTCTTTTCAACGATCTTCGGAGCCTGTGCGCACAGTGATATGGAAAGGAGATCCCTGCAGACAATGGCTGTGGGGCTTGGAGAAGATGGGGGATGGTTAAAGAGGAAAAGGGGGCAAAGGGTCAGAGACTCCTGGGGAACCAGTGTGGGTGGTTGTCGTTGCCCAAGTCCAGTGACTGCTCTGGGACTGGCAAGTGAATCAGCTTCCTCCTGCCGAACTACCTATTTCAGAGGGAGCCCAATAGAGTCCTATACACCCCTTCCCCAGCCCCTGCTGATGCTGCTGAGGCTGGAGTCTAAACAGGCAGTACCTGGGGGAGGAGGGGCCTGGCCCTCCCTACGGTAGAAGTAGGGGGAGGATGCAAGTGTGTCGACGGACCACTGACTCCTGCCGTGAATTGCGTCCTTCTACACAATGGAAGGCATTCAAGAATGAGATAGAGGCAACCTCAAACATCACCCCAGCCTCCCCCCCACCCCGCCACACGCGCTCACGCGAACACACACGCACGCACACTCGCTGTGCACGGAACAGTCTAACCAAGTGAGCACCAGTGTGGTTTGTTCTGGGGGCTGCATAGAGTTGACACTGTTGCTTGGATGGGTGCAGTCGGCAAGGACAATTTTTGCAGCTAATGCTGGAAGTGTGGCAATCAGAGGAGCCGCCAGCTGTCTCGCTTCGATTCTTAGCTCTCTCGCTCTCTTTTTTTAAAATCATTTTGCTTACATAATCCACCCCCTTTTTATTTTCTAATTCTCTCCTTGCAAAGCTGGCACCAGAGGGGAAGGGCTGGGGTGGAGGGGGTAGCAATTACACATCAGTTTGGGGCGCATTTACATTTTGCAATTACAATTTAAAAATAAGCCTCGTTAATGATCTCCACGTGTCAGCGACAACCCCGAACTGACACACGTACTCTCCTGGGCCTGCCTGCCTGCCTCCCCCTGAAGTCAGAGGCTTGGGGGTGGGGTTTGCGCAGAGGTGCCCAGGGAGACCTGGGGGAGCCAGGAGCAGCATCTGAACGGGGGCGGAAGTGATGAGTGTGTCCCTGGGGCTGCTGGAAGACAGGTCTGGCGCTAACACTAGAAACCAGAACCCAGGCCCCCTCCCTGGTCTCCTGCTCTGTCCTCGCCCGACGTCGCAGGCTCAGTGTCCTCAGGAGGCAATGTCAGTGCTCAGCTGGGAGGAAGGGAACCCTGTCTGCTGTTACCCTCCGAGCTGGGAGGGTCCTGTTGGGCCAACGTAAATCCTAGTCCCCCTGCACCGGCTGACGCCTGGATATTCATGGACTGGGTAGAGGGTCAGGAAGGGAGCAGGATTGGCTGTCCCAGTCTGGGGAGTCCGCTTCTCTTAGTAATTAGTTACCACAGACTTATTGACGCCCTCTGGCTCCTTGAGCAGGGGCTTTGGAACAGACCCACCCAGACTCAGCTCTGCCGTGTGCTGGCTGCGGGGTCTGACGCAAGTTGTGTGACTTACGTTTTCTAACCAACACCATCTTCATGTACCTGCAATAATTATATTTACCTCACAGGGCTGGCATGAGGGTTGAATAACGTACCAGGCGGCACCTGATGCAAGCCTGGCCGGTGGCGAATGCTCAGTAAATGTCGGTCCCTCCCCGGGCCCCTCCCCAGCATGCTCCCTCCTGCCCACACTGAGCTGCTTCTTTCCAGCTCCCGCGGACACTAAGGAAGCATGATCTGGTCCAGTTTCTCCAGGTCTCCCATCTGCATCCTGAGCAGCTCCTGAAGTGGACCCCAGCCCCTCACACACCCACCGTCTCCCAGGGGGCCTCTCTGCGGGGCTCAGGCATCAGGCCTTCAGCATCTCACAGCCTCTCTTCCTGCCCCTGGCTTGTAACAAGCCCAGCTCTCTCTCTTCTGGGTGCTAGTTCAATGGAGCTTCCATCAGGCCTCACGTATGTTCTTTATCTGTGAAATGAGGGGGGTAGACGGAGCTCTCTGAGGTGCCTTGGAGCCTCAGCATCTGAAACTCTCAGATTTTCCTCCCCTCTTGGCTTCCTTCACACCGTTACTTGCATGTGAAGCTTCCATCTCCTGGGCGGCTTCATCCAGGCCAGTCTTTGGACTGATCACTTGTAGTCCAGAATGTGCATTCATTACTTGAAACATACATGAAACAGCTCCTCCCAAGGACAAAAAGTGATTTGCATCTTGCAAAAATCAGAGAAAGGAAGACATTCCAGAAGCAGGCTGCCTGGCGTAGGGCAGAGGACACAGAAGGGGCTGCAGACAGGGGTTCCTTGAAGGCAGAGACTACATCTTACTGTTTGGGTGTTTAGTTGAACACAGTTAAATGTTATGTGTTCAAAACTGTCCTAAAAACTTTTTTGTTAACCTAAGCTATATAAGGGAGAGTTTTCCAGGTCAAAAGCAATAGATCTGCTCCCTTGTTTTTAATGACTGCGTAGTATTCTCTTACATGGATGTTTTATGACGGGCTTAGCTATTTTACAATTTAGAAGTAAAGCATGTATGTGAGGGGGAAACCCACAGTGCTAAAGATATAAAGTAGAATTAAAAATCTCCCTTCTTTCCCCACCTCTGCCCACTAGGCTCACGATCCAAAGTCAACCCCAACGAACAGTTTCTGATTTAGCTGATTTTGAGGCCATTTATTATGTTATGTAATATGCATGAAAACCCTCTTTTTTAACGTATGCATTTATCAGGTAACTCCCTGCTATGGAAATGGGGCAATGAGCACACGTTCTGCTCCCTCCAGTTTGTATGCATTTGATCAAACAAAATTTGGTATTATCTATTTTTAGTATGCAGTATATTTATAATACAGTGTATATGTGTTATATAGTACACAGTGTTACAGTTTTTAGTGTAATCGTCTATGTACTATCTTTATGTTAAAATTTAGAAGATTTATTATGGTCCGTTAAGTAACTGTAGTTACCCGCATTCTGACTATAGGTTGATTATAAGGTGGAAATGTCATTAAACCACAGAACTAAATCGTGTGATTTGACCACAGAAAATGAAATGGAATCCTATTGTCACCACTTGGCTGCTGCCAGGGATCTTCCGAGCCCCCAGGTTAACACCTGCCCCCCCCCAGCTGCCTCCCCTCCCGTTGGGTCACGCTGGCTGCTGCTCTGTCTTGTTTTACATTGTCCTCTTCCTCCGACCTCTTTGTTCTACTGGAATACCGCCTCTAGTTATTTTTATGTTGATGGGAGGGAAATAAACTCCGAGCTCTTACATGTCCAACACGGACGTTACCTTGTCTTCAGACTTGACTGTTAATCTGACCCAGTTCAGCTCGGCTCCCGTGCTCAAAACCTTTTCCTTTCCATCTTGAAGGCGCTGCTCCGCCACCTTCTTTCCACTCTTGCAATGAGAATCTACTTTTAATTTTCTTTTTCTTTTTAAAGTTCTGAAATTTCGCCACACTGCGCTGAGGCTTGAGATTTGGTTTGCTCTTTTTTTCGTTACTCTTTCTCAGTCCTTGGGATCCCTTTAAATCTGAAGTCATCTGTCTTGCTTCATTTCATCGTTTCTATGTGTATTCTGCTCTGTTGTTTCTGTTTTCTTTTTCTGGAACTTCTACTGCCCAGCACAGAGCCCAGCACATAGTAGGTGCTCAGCAAATGACTAATGATTTGTTTACCTGGGTTCTAGTTAGGACCCGTCTCCAACTGGCTGCATGAACTTGAACAGGATTTCTCCTTCATACAGGGAAGCTGCTCTGCCAGCCCTCCAGCCATCTGCTCTGGACAGAATGCTCTGGAGCCTTGGGTCCTACACTGCCCCTGGGGTTGGGGAAGAAGCTAAGGAGTGAGGAGTGAGGGGAAAGCGGAGAGTGAGCCGTAGGGCAGCGTGGTGGCCAGACTCCCACTACAGACAATTCCCCGAACCTCAGAT